TGGGTAATTATTAATTCTCACTCTCCAGTTGAAATTTCATTCTATTGCAGCTCAGCTTTTCTAATACAAGCCTACTTGTAGTTATTACTGGTCTTTCTTTTAAATGTCCATCCCTTCATAGGAACGAAAAAAAAAACCCAAAATGATCTTGTGTAATATCTAGTCATATAGTAGATCAAATTTCCCTTTATGCTTTTAATACCAAAAACAGAAAAAGGAGTGGGGCCAGGTCAAGGGAAGAGAGGGCTATTGTGAAAACTTAAGTTGAACGGAGTTGATCAAGATGGCAGCTATTACTTGGCAGCAGTGTGAATAGGCGGGGCAATAAATTCGAAGGGCTTACACTACACCAAAATAGTTATTGGGACTGCCTTGGGTCCTCAGCTGCATTATACTCGAACCTGTTCTCCTTAGAAGGCTCTGGTCCTGCCCCCGAGAATGTGCCACAAGTATCAGTCACCGCACTCTGAACCCAACACATGACAGATTCATTCAATTCAATTTCTATTTCTTTCCTTGGCATTTTACTTTGTTTCAGTTCTACATTTTTTAAGTCCTCACAGGACAACCCCAGTCAGTTGTTTCTGATCTGCAGAGGAACATTAGAGTGATATTGGAAGCAAAATGGGAAAGAAAGTCAGCTGCATTACCACCCCTATGGGTTAGCGTCCAATTTGTAGCAGGTAAGCTGTGAAGAGCTTTTTGCACAGACTGCCAGGAGGAAGAAAGGTGCAGGGTACCTTGACCTAGAGCAAGGGCTGAATCTTGCCACCCTGGTTTAGAAGTATAGGAGCTTAAAAAAAAAAACATCAAAGCTGCCAATGGTTTTTGGAAACAAATTTATGACAAACAGCTCCTTTGTTCGATTAACTCTCTTGCATTTTTTGTTCCATGAATATAAAGCAAATACAAGTATAAAAAGAAAGGTTTTGTTTAATTATGTAAAAGATTGTTCACTTGGTAGACAAGCATTGAATTTCCACGGGTTTGGTTCCCTTGAGTGAATGTCTCCCCTGAGAGTACACTCCTTTGTACCTGAAAAGAGTGGCTCTTCCTGGGAGATGTGAGATGAGGACATTGCTGACAGACAAGAAGGAGTGGGGGCCAGGGGTTGCAGGAACTGTTTACATAAGACACACTCTGAACCATGCTGCTTTCCGCTCCAGATTGTGAGGTGTGATACCCAGCTGAGGAGGCAGACTCCCTGCCCAGAATCTTTCATCAACTAACACGCTGAGGAGTGTCAGCTTTTAGAACCTCAGACCTGGAAACAGCACTTGATGTCTCTCTCTCTTTCTCCCTCCACCTCCTCTCTCTCTCTCTCTCTCTCTCTCTCTCTCTATCATTTGTATTTCTAATCTCTGCTATCTCTCTGGGGGTTTCATTATCTCCTATTACAAACAAACATTCTCCACAAGATAAGAAATAGGCCCATTGGCATCTATTTTCAAAACCTTCTAACTCTCGTATTCCATGTATTCCACGGCAAGGCCTTCCTTGCTATCTCTATCTGGTGGAATGGTATGACTTGGATCACATGACTTACCTCACCAGAGGGAGAAGTGTTCTGACTGACCTGGGCTGAGCCACATGCTCAGAGATATAAAAGCTTTTGCCACGAGAAAAAAAGTGTAATGGAAACTGGCCAGTAATCTGACTGGTGTCCTTGGCAGCTAAAAACAATAGCTAGCACTTGCATTTTGTGAAAAGCCGAGTAAGAGTTATTTCTCAACTCTGGGCATATATCCACTGCTTCTGAGCCTCATCTGTGCCACCTCATTGTCTCAGGTAAGCCCTTAAGGAAGCAGAGAAAAGACATAACAATAAATTGTCCAAAGCTTGAACACTAGCACTAAGAATGAGGGAATAAATGAAAATCCAAACCTTTCCCACCACCTACTTTGTTCATCCTGCTCCATCTTCTTCAGGTAATGACATCACCTATGGGGGGTGGAGGTGGGTGGGGGGCTAAGAGGAGTGGTCTTGTCTGTCTGATTCTTGACTGGATAGAGGGGGATGAGGTTTGAGGGATGCAGTTTATTTTCAACAGTGAATTTTGAGCCATTTAATTCTCATAAGTCTGTGAAGTAGGAATCCAAGATGCTGGATTTTTAAGTGTGTTAATCAGCCCTGGCCAGTGTGACTCAGTTGGTTGGAGCCTTGTCCCAAATACAAAAGGTGGCAGGTTCCATTCTTTTTTTTTTAAATATATTTTATTGATTTTTTACAGAGAGGAGGGGAGAGGGATAGAGAGTTAGAAACATCGACCAGCTGCCTCCTGCACACCCCCTACTGGGGATGTGCCCACAACCAAGGTACATGCCCTTGATCGGAATCGAACCTGGGACCCTTGAGTCCGCAGGCCAACGCTCTATCCACTGAGCCACACCGGTCAGGGCGGCAGGTTCCATTCTCAGTCAGAGCACATATCCAAGTTTTGGGTTCAATTTCTGGTCAGGGCGAGCTCAGAAAGCAACCAGTCTCTCTCTCTCTCTCTCTCTCTCTCTCTCTCTCTCTCTCTCATTCTCTCTGTTAGATCTGATCAAATAATTGAATCAATACCCCCTCTCCTGGGAACTGACCTTTAGATCACTTCAACCTACATCCCCTTTTGCTGAGACCACATCCCACTTGCTGAGACCATTATCTTTCCTCTCCGGACTTTTCCAGGATCTAGACCTGTCCAGAGAGTTTCTCACCGAAAAAGCCCGCCACGAGTTCTTTAAAATCTCTGACTCCCAGAGTCTGGGTGCTGGCACCACTTGGGGGCTCAACATCATCTGAGCCCCCAAATTTATAATTCCTTACCACTTTGGCCCCATGTGTTCCTCCTTCAGCAACCCTAACACCCTCTTTTATAAATAAATAAATAAATATGTTAGTATGAGTGTAATCAAGTTTAAACTGCATATAGGATCAGAATAGGCTTTTTTAAATTTATATTTATTGTTGCAAGTATTACAGATGTCCCCTTTGTGTTTCTTTTTACCATTGACCCCCTCCACCCCATAACTGCCCCTCCCAGGCCTTCACCACTCTATTGTCTGTGTCCATGGGTTATGCATATTAAGTTCCCCAGTTAATCACTCCCCTCCCACCCACCCCCAACACTGCCTTTTCTCTGAAATTCGTCAGCTTCTATGTCTCTAGATCTATTTTACTCATCAGTTTTTTTGTTCATTAAATTCCACAAATGTGTGAGATCATGTGTTACTTATCTTTCTCGGACTGGCTTACTTTGCTTAGCATAATGCTCTCCAGGTCCACCCATGCTGTTGCAAATGGTGAGTTCTTTCTTTTTTATAGCTGCATAATATTCCATAGTGTAAATATACCACAGCTTTTTTATCCACTCATCTGCTGATGGGCACTTGGGCTGTTTCCAAATCTTAGCTATTGTAAATTGCACCACTATGAACATAGGGGTGCATATATTCTTTCTGATTGGTGTTTCTGATTTCTTAGGATATATTCCTAGAAGTGGGATCACTGGGTCAAATGGGAGTTCCATTTTTAATTTTTTTAGGAAACTCCATACTCTTTTCCAAAGTGTCTTGGTTTGAAAATACAATTACAAATATATATATTTTGTTCATATATAAAAAAAGTATAATAGACTTTTATCACAACTGTCACCTCAGTACAGTCAGAATCATAAACAAGTATTAAACTAAGCATTAAAGAATTAAACATGCATTTGTTTTTCTGTAAAGATTCAAAATTAACTAGTGCAAATGTAAACAATGATTTCTACAACTTAATTAATTAACCCTACCATACCCATGAAGACACCTTTCCTTAGAGTACTCAGTCTACAATGTAGCAAGCTATTCCCTTATTCCTAAGGTTTCCAAGTCAACCGTGAGGGTTCTGAGAGTATGGCTACTACTGCAGTTGGATCATGTTAAGAGCTTAACAATATTTGTGTATTAAATAAAAGTATTTTTTTAAATAGCTGGAAAATGTTCATAAAGTATGGAAATAGATGTGCTCACTCATAAGTTTGGCTCATTTTCCTCTAATGAGAGACATAGTTTTTGAAAATATAGAGTAATAACATGTATGTCCACCCTTCAACAAGATTTTAGACCTTTAAAACAAATAATTTGTAAATACTTAATGAGGGAATGTGTAATGATTAGAAACCTAGAATTATAGGTTTCTGAATCTGAGATAGGGCCACTTTATCTCTCAATTGTGAAGGAATCCTTCAGGTAATATGGGAAAATAGTTTAATTTAAATGAAGCAAAGGTATGCAAGGGGAAACAATTTCCTCAATGCTCCATAGACAATGTGCTAGAAATATTTAACTCCTCAATCTACATATCTGCCTGCTTTGATGAAGATATTTAATGAAATTTCTAATGCCTCTTATTGACATTGGGAAAAAAATTATAATAAAATTGACATGTAGAATGAATAAGCAAAGCACAGAGGACTTTTAGGGCAGTGAAATACTCTGTACAAAACTATAATAGTGGATATATAAACATTATAAATTAACACCAAGAGTGAATGTAAACTATGGACTTTGGATGATGATATACCTACATCAATCGTAACCAATATACTTCTCTGCTGGGAGATGTTAATAATAGAGGAGGAAATGTATATATGGGGGCAGGGCATATATGAGAAATCTGTCTGCCTGCTTTGATGAAGATATTTAGTGAAATTTCTAATGCCGCTTATTGACATTGGGGAAAAAATTATAATAAAATTGACATGTAGAATGAATAGGCAAAGCACAGAGGACTTTTAGGGCAGTGAAATACTCTGTACAATACTATAATAGTGGATATATAAACATTATAAATTAACACCAAGAGTGAATGTAAACTATGGACTTTGGATGATAATGATATACCTACATCAATCGTAACCATTATACTTCTCTGCTGGGGGATGTTAATAATAGAGGAGGAAATGTATATATGGGGGCAGGGCATATATGAGAAATCTCTACTTAATGTTGCTATGGGCCTATAACTCCTCTATAAAATAAAGCCTATTACAAGCAAACCAATAAATAAGAATGAATATGTGACTGCTTAAAGAACTCGTCAATGCCTCAATTTGTGGTCTCCAACTTCCAGAAGTACCTGTATTAGTAATGGACCACAGGGTTCAAACTGATCTTATAATTTATTTGCAGGTTGAAAGACCATTTATATTATTTCATCATTTCACTTTTAAAGACAAATTTCTCTGACTCTGACTTTATATTTATGCAAACTCACTTTCTAAGGTAGTAGGAAAATTAGGGTTTTGTGCTACCAACTAAAAACATGATTTACCCAGTGCTTCACTGTAAATTTGGTTCCACTTCTCATTAAATGTTTGGAACCAAAAGTCAAAATACTAGTAAAGCACATATATCATAATTTTTATCCTCTCCATGAAGGTCATTTGATCACTTAATTCTGACATAATAACAAGTACATAGGTTGGAGGGATTGGGAGTTCTTCACTATACTTTTCAATTGTCTAGCCAGGAAGGAAGCAGAAAGTATACACTAAAGGTATTTTCAGTAATTCAGCCAGCAGCTGACCACAGGGAATGATGGCATCTGCAAGAATGATTCTTGTACTTTTGTTATGTTTCCTATTAAAAATGATATTTTTTACAGAGCTTTTCAACAAAATCAGACAATTCCCAAAACATTTCTTGCATTAGGTAAAAAAAAAAAAAAGCATCCAAAATGTGTCTTTTGGCAGATCACATGTCTATTTATTTGGTCAGGTACACGAAAACACACACCATGATATTATTTTTTATTGAAGATGTAGGGTAAATCTCAAATTTAACAGCAGATGATTTGTTGGGATCAACAAACATGGAAGCAGAAGATGTCAGAACAATCACTTCATGACCACTGTGGACAAGTTCACCCAAGATTGTCTGCATATTTATCCAAAGGCTGTTTTCTGTGGGATGTACCAGCACCTTTCCACAGCTCCCAGGCTACAGTTACAACTCAACCATAGCAGCAGAAAAACTGAAATCCATTTCATAGACATCCTGGTGGGCACAATGCTTCTTTTCAAATTGCCAATCCCTTCTGCCATTGCTCATGCTTATGTCCAAGGAGAAATCAATCCAAAGTTAAAATATAGCCCAGTCAGTGTCACTCCGTGATTGAGCATTGACTTATGGATCAGGAGGTCACAGTTGGATTCCCAGTCAGGGGACATGCCTGGATTGTGGGCTTGATCCCTAGTAGAGGGTGTGCAGGAGGCAGCCAATCAATGGTTCTCTGTCATCATTGATGTTTCTATCTCTCTCTCCCTCTCCCTTCCTTTCTAAAATCAATAAAGATTATTTTTTAAAGTTAAAATATAACTCCTACACCATAAACTGTAACCACAGAACCAGCTCGAACTGGTCCTATCCTATTTCTAACAAGACCCGGAACCAAAGTTTAAACCTTGGATATAGCACTTAAGAGTAACACTGTGAACACCATTAATGGGTAACACTTGTGAACCCTTTACTGTTCCCTTCAGTGGAACCAAAGGGCCTGGAAATGACCAGAAACTCAACACCAGATCCTTTTCAGGAGGGAAGGATACATTGTCCAGGAAGATCGGAAGCTGAAACCTCTTAAA